CGCTTGGCCAAGCCGAGGTCCGTCTCTCGTTCTGGATGTCCCTGTCCGGAACCAGAGGAAGAGGCAGAAGACCGGCGAAAAGACACGAAGGGAAGAGCGAGGGAGCGGGAAAGAAAGCGAAAATAGAGAGAACAAGAGAGCAAAAGAGAGAGAGAGAGAGTAAGAGATAACAAAAGAAAGACAGAAAGAAAGAAATAAAGATTGAAAGAGATACGGAAAGAAACATGGAAAGAAATACGAAAAGACAACGGCGGAAAGAAAATAAACAAATCAGGAAGAAGGAACGAAAGAAACAAACAAACTAGCGAAAGAAAGAAAGAAAGAAAGAAAGAAAGAAAGAAAGAAAGGAATAATGAAACAACTAACTAACTAACTAACTAAATAAACAAATAGAGAAGGATATATATATATAGAAAGAGAGACAGAAAGAGAGACAGCAAGAGAGAAAGAGAGGAATAGAGGAAGAGAGGAAGAGCCAGAGAGAGAGAGAGAGAGAGAGAGAGGGGGAGAGAGATAGACAGAGGGAAAGAGGGAGAGAGACAAAGAGAGGGAGAGAGAGAGCACGAGGAAGAAAGAGAGAGCGGGAGAACGAGAGAGCACGAGAAAGAGAGAGAGAGAGAGAGCGAGCACGAGGAAGAGAGAGAAGGAGAGAAACAAAAGACAACGGGAGTAGGAGAGAAAGAGAACAAGAGAAGGATAAAAAGAGAAAGATAGAGAGAGATAGAGAAAGAGAAAGACGAAAACAACAGGGAGAGAGATTTGGCCAGCCAGAAAACAAAAGAATAGATCATGTTTCCTTGGAAGCAAGCACCGCAACTTAACCGAAAGAGCACAAAATCAGCGTACCAATATGAGTCACAATCAAAACCCGGGTAATTGGAGGGTAGTAAGGGACAATCCCAGCCATAAATGGTTGCAGCCACCATTTTAATCCTGTAATTACATGCTTCTGAGTAGACCATTTCAATACCGGGTTTTGATTGTGACTGTAATATGAACCCACACCATGGCCCTCAATCCAACAAAAGCGGACGCCCACTGGGCCTCCGGGTAGCGGTCGGCCCAAGGCGCAACGCGGCCGGTTTGCTCAAAGGGGAGATGGGCTTCCCGTGTGCCCCGGCGGCAAGCTCAGGGGTAGGCCTACAGCACTGTCTTTTCTGGTAGACGGCGATAGACAAGTCACGTAGGCCTTACGTGAAAATCTGAGTGCGCCAGTGTGATTTGCCGTTCCTGTTCAGCCAGGCTCTGTGAAGGCTCGAGGCCAGAGATGCCTGCAAGTTGCGAGAAACAAACACCTTCCATGTAGTCCCTCAGGCCAAAAGGGAGATGGCAACACACCAACACCATTGTCAGATGGCACGTATCCAAGTACTGCATGCACATGTCCGAGCTGTAAATGTGGCCGGACCGGCTCTGAGGCTACATGAATGTGGTCCCCTATGCCAATAAATGTTCTGGCATCAGAAGATAATTATCTCACAGCGCCATCACATGAGTCACAATCAAAACCTGGTGTTAAAATGGTCTACCCAGAACCATGTAAAGAAATAAGAAGGCGGCCGCAGCTATTTATGGTTGGGATTGTCCCTTACCAACCTTCATCTACCCGGGTTTTGATTGTGGCTCACATGTTGCGCTGCTTCATAGGGCCCGACCCCCTGGACCAGGGTCCACTGCCAATTCAGGTAGACAACACATCAACTAGAATCAAATGAATCAAGCGATGGTGCAATGAATAAGCACGATTCACATGGGAACCGGAACACTAGGGATTTCTTTCACAACCCGAGGATGAAATTCGGCTCGACAAATCAATGCGAAACGGTTTGGCGCGGAATGCTGGCTCCCCATGGCTCCCCTTAATGCGCACAAGCAAGCTGCAAGCTCTATTTCACGACAAAGTGAAAGGATGGTGTCTTGTTGCCCCCAAAACGCAATCTAGTGCATTCTGCCTTCTAACAGCTTGACTCAAAGTTGATACATGTCAAATCCAGACCGTTGTCAAGGGACGTCCCAAGAGTCAGAATGACTCCATGCACTCTTATCAATTTATGCCCAGCGCTTCAAAAACCACGTCTTTGTGCCATTTTCGCATCAAGCAACACGCAGCCAGCCTTTGGCCAGCCGCGGCCTCCTTCAACCTCTTTGTACAACCGACGACAATATGTGCTGCTGCCTCCCCGAAGAGTACATCTAAGGTCACGAGCGTCTCTAGTGTCATCCCATTCCTAACTCAATCAGGCACCAACAAACAAACCTGCCGCGCAATGCTTGCATGGCGGAAGCCGTTTAAACTCTGAAGCACTTCGAGAGCATTCGTCGTGTGGCTCGTACCAGACCTCCAGCTTCTGCGGCGCGAGGGGCATCCTCAAACCTTAGCGTGCCACATGCATCATGCATGTTCAAGCTGCAAAAGAGTCTGAGCGTTGGCTTTTATTCCCTTCAACTTCAGCTGGACGTTGTCTCAGCTTGCGCCCGCATCCCATTCATCAGGCCCAAAGGTTCCTTCCTTGGACTTCCGCGGTACATGTTCTTGATCTCCCTGTTGTGGCGACAATTTGGTGAGTCCCTCACTGTTCCCCGACCACAGAAAACCATAAACTGGTCGACTGGAATGTCACGGGATTTCCTGTTTGTATTGCCCCAGGCTAGACTTATGCACAGGGCTTCCGCTTTACTGTCATGAACTGGCAGCGGTGACTGTACATGACGGAGCCTCGACTCGGACAAATCCACACGAGGCAAAAGTTGAGAAGAGTGGTTAATCATCCATTCAACTTGGGTTTCATTGATTCCTACTGGTGCCGATATCAGGGTGGATTTTGCCATTACATAATCCCCAGCCAACCACTAGCCACCTAGTAACCACCACTAACCACTCACCAGGTAGGCCTGGACCCCAGCCACCAGATTTTAGGCAAGCCACGGTCAAGAGCACGTCGCATCTAAGGGAACGCGCCAAAGCTGTTCTGGCGCCTGGCGGAGGCGTCACTTGTGCGGCTTGGTCAAGACTCTGAGGTTGGTCCACACATGGCCATGGGTCAAAATCCAAATCGTACCCCCAGTGAACATCCCAATCCCCACTAAAGTAGGTTCTAAAATGGGTGGTGTATCTACCCCAAAATGGTACCATTGGTTTTGACCCACAGCCATATCGGTGGTCTATGGCTGACATTCGGGGCGTGGGGGGACGAGCTCTAAATGTCCCACAAAAACCGCGACTCACGGAATGTCTAACTCACTAACGTCCAAGCGAACAAAACATTCACACAATCACAATGCTCGTCTGGCCGTGGAAAACGGCGAAAGAATGTCGGGTCACAAAAAACGGAAAAATATGTCCCCAAGTCGGTCCGCTTCGAAGGAGCTCAGGCAACTCAAAAGATGGGTTGATCGATCGCCCTGAGGGCAAATGCGAAAAGATTAGAACACAACGCATGGGTCCAGCATGTTAAGCAACATCAACGACCAAAGAATCCCAATATAGACTTGGTGAGGAACAAGTTTACAACCTGAGGGGAATGGCAAAGGCTGTCTCATTTGGCTTGTTGCTGCCCTGGCCGTTCTGGGTAATGGCTTTGCGCCTCACAAAAGAAGCTGTCAATCAGCAAGGGCCACTTCAATTCAACTCTCTAGCGGCGTTCCTCTAGTCAATCAGACGTCAGCTGATCCATAAGCTTTGAAGCTTTCAGCTGGAGAACGCCAAACTGTCCAAAAGCAGGAGTACCGCATTCCACTGTCATGGGCTGTCTGCACAAGGTGGTCTTGCACATGGGCGTGTGTCTCTGTGTGGTCTCTGTGTCTCTGTGTGTGCGCGCGTGACTGTCTGACTTTTTCGGGTACCCTCTTGTTTTATCTTGGTTTAAAGGGACACCAAAAGGACAATGTTGCTTTCGGGGGGGGGGGGCCC